GACTGAAGTCTACTCTGGGCGGCTAACAATAAGACATAAGAGTAATATAATAAAATTAAAACAACAATGACAATATAATTCAAAATGGCAAGGTCATTGGGTGATGACAGGAGGGAAAGCCTGCCTAAAGAGCCAGGTCTTAAGTTTGCTCTTAAAAACACCCAGCGAGGGAGCCAGGCAAATATCTGCAGGCATTTATAGTCTTCAGTGTAAATTCCATTTGTGTTCCCACATCTTTGATTTCTTCAAATAGTTGATCCATCTCTATTTTCATCTGGTGCAGTCCATGAAGTATAATGTTTTGAATATTATTGAGGATGTATTGTTGTCCCATAATTGGAGGTATTATCTGGATTTCTTTCCAGCAGATAGTGACCACAATAGTTATTCACAATAGTAGCTTGGGGCAGAAGGTTGACAGGAGGAAGGGCTTTTCCCAAGACTGTTCCTGGCTGCTTCACAGGTTGAAATCCATCAGTAGTTTATGGTTATATTGTCCTGCAAGAGTGAGTTTTATTGCCACAATAGAAGCAAAGTGGTTTTTCTTCCTTCCCCTTTCTCTTTCTTTCTTTCTCTTTCTCTCAGCCAAGCCTCAGATGAAGGGGAGGGGAGTGTTCCTGAATCTGGCCAGATAAAGGTCTAGTCACTTTCTCTGACAGATTACACTCAGTTTCTTCATTGTTCAGGTCCTTAACAGCTCCATATGTAAAACAAGCCACTTACTTCAAGTTTGGTCAAGATTATTTTTCCAAAATCTTTCTGCTCTTCTCCGCTCTGTTTTGGGGCATTCACAGCTCTGTGCCAAAGATGGCACCCACTCAGTTATGCTTTCAGACTGTGACTTCAAAGGGAGACCAATCCAGGAATCTCCCGGGCCACCTCCCTTCTTGGTCATATTCTGTTGCTTCAGACGTTCACTTCTCTTAGTAAAAGTAATTTCCCCCGCAAGTTTGAAGGGGTCAAAACCAAGTGGTCTCAGTCAGTTTCAGGAGCCTCCTGAAACCTGACCGAGTTTGCTGCGACGAAGCCCTGCCTCCCCAAGATTCCTTTATTTTAAGAGGCTTGAAGAATTTGTGAAAAAATTAAAGAGTATTGAGAACATGCTACATCTGTGGTCTCCAACTATGTCTTTGTGGAATTAAAAAAGGTAACTCTCAGATGCAACCTCTGAGATCTATTTAGTGAGCATTGCAGTTCTTGAAGTTCATGCATAAAAGTTAAAATCAAAAACCCACAACAACCATTAGATCCCGGCCGTGAAAGCCTTTGTGAAAACTGTACATTAAAATCAATTGTTGATTTTATTAACTTTTCAGTTATCCATGAGCTTGCTATGGCTATTTTGATGAAAAATGATTTTACCTGAATTGCCCCTCATGTTTTTTCTCTACATTGGAAGTGCTCTTCTGGTACCTAGGAATATTCTCCATAATGAATTGATTGAATGTCAAAACAGCAAAAGTCAGTATGCCTTACATTTTTCCAATCTCTTTCAGAAAGGTGAAAAGGCCCGAGAGAAATACAATGTATTAATTTGCTATCTCTGCAGCTCCAAAACAAAACAGTAAAACAAAAGGGGGAAAATCCCTCATGTATTCTAGTGAAGAATACACTGTGACCCTGCAGATTTGGTTAAACTTCAATTCCTATATCCTCCAGCTAGTATGATCAATTGTCAGTCGCAATGGGAGTTGTAGTCCAACTGCACTGGAGGACAGATGGTTCCCTATCCCTTCTCTGTCAGCCAATCCAATATACATTTTCCGGTAAATTTTCTACAAGAAACCAAATGTTATGCTTTGTCTCCACCTACTGAAAAACTGAGAAACCAACCTTGATAAGAAATAAACTTTAGAGATATTTGCAAATACTGTACAAAACCAACAAGCTTTACCATTCATATTTCCATTTGCAATTACAATCAAGGGCATTTAATTGCAATTTTATTCATAAAGTTTGACAGCAATAAGTTTCACATATAAGGAATTTTGGAATTTGTGATTTATGAGCTACAACTACTCAGAGCACAAAGCGGCCACTAACATAGGTCACTTGTTTTGTTGCTTCATAGTAATGTAGCAAGGCAAGGCACAGATGATTTAAAAAGATATATTTTTAAAAATCCTCCCTATTACAAATCCCATGAGCCCCAAGAACATAAGAAGTAACCTGCTGAATCATATTGAAGGCCTATTTAACCCAACATTATGTTGGCTGATTAGTTGCCATGATGACATTCTCCATGAGATTTTGACATCTCACATTTCCCAACAATTTATATGCAGAGGCCTTTGATATTGTGCAGATGACATACAGCCATTCTGGCAAGTAGCCACTGATAGCGTTCAATAGTTATGTCCTGTCAAGCCAATTCCAGCTCACTCTTCCCAGAATTTTCTAGGGTTAAATAACTCAGAACTGGCTTATCAGTTATTTATCCCTAGGAGCATTCTGGGACCCTGCAGCTCAAGCTTGCACAGACTAGCTCTTACCCCCAGCACAATGGGGAATCCAACTCCTGATTCAAAAAAAAAAAAAAAAAAGCCGCATGTTCCATACATTTAGCTATTCATCCCACTATTGATGGTCCTGTTGTTGTTATGTGCCATCAGGTTGCCCTAACCTATGGCGACCCTATGAATGAGAGATCTGCAAAATGTCCTGCCCTCAGCATCCCTGCTCATCTCTTGCAAACTGAAGCTTGTGACTTCCTTTAAGGTGTCAAACCATCTCATATTTGGTCTTCATGCTGCCTTCAACTTGATGTGCTCTTAATGCATTGGGCTACAACTCCTATGATTCGTATTAGACATGGCCATTGGCTGTACTGGCTGGGGATGATGGGATTTGTAGTCCGACACATCAGGATGGTGGTACCTATGGCAAGAGTGGTATAGATGAAGAAAAATTTTATTCTCTTCTAACACATGTATACAATGTTGCAAGCCCACACCCTGTTGCCACTGTTAATATATAGTTGCAAAGTTCATTGTTTGTGAAGGTTCAGTACATTTACTGACAAAACAGACTTTCTGTCATTGATAAATCACATTTTCCAATAGTCAAACTGCAACTTTTAAATTGTTTTTGGTGTGAAATAGCATTGGCAAAACCAGGTTGGTTCCCCTTATGTCTCATCATTACTGATAGATCTCTCCTTTTCATCATAAGGCAGCCACACTATTCTAACTATTAGCTAGGATCTAAAGAATTTCTTTAGACACCACATATAAAAGGACTCATTTATTTCCTTTCCTTTTCTTTCTTACCTTTTCTTTTCTTTTTCCTGACAACAACAACCTTTCATGGTCCCCTAACACAACTAAATGTCATCTTTCCAGTTGCATTTTATAGTGACCTTAGTTTCAAAGTGGTTTGCAATGTGGTGGGAGAAGCTACTTTTCAATAAACATGAGCTGAAAGTCCCCATAGCAAAATAGTTGTTTCAGCCAGTCATTTATTGAAATTCAGAGGTAAAGTGCAATATTAGTGAGGATTGGGCGTGTTAACGCCTATGCAAGTTCCACTGATTTACTCTAGCTGCAAGGACTAGATGTCAGCCATTATAAAATCACATTTTTTTCACTCTGTCCTTAATTGATATAGCAGGCAAAAATTAAGAATATTGTTATATTCAGCCATTTTGAGTTCCTAGTGTGGTGTAGTGGATAGAGTCATGGACGAGGACCCTGAAGAACAGGGTTTGAATCCCCACTCAGAAATGGAAACTCACTGGGGGGAGTGAAACTGGCAAAACCACTCCTTAAATATCTGACTTACCCTGAAAACCTTGTTAGGGTCACTGTAAATCAATCCCAACTTGACAGCAACAAACACACACACATTTAAAATGTTAAGAATTTCCAGGGGGGGGGTAGCAGGTTTGATTTCTTCTGAAAGGTAAGTCAGAGGCTTATCAGAGCATGGTTTCTTGGGTTGACTCTTTTGACCTCCTTTGATGTCACAATTTTTAACATCACGGACTGTAAGCAGTTGGCAAATATTTTGTAGGAGAGATACTGAAACAAATACCAATGTCCTAAAACGTTAAGGGCTTTAAAGGTCATGACCAGCATCTTAAATTTAGTACATAAAATGAAAGGCAAATTTCAGTTCATTGGCCCTGGTCCAATCCATTATCAATGCTAGATAGGGCACAAGAACCTGTATTGCATCACCTGTGGATGAAGAAAGGAGAGACAGAGCTGTATGTCATTCTGCATATTGATAACAATAAACTCCAAATATTCATAGGACAGGACATGGTGGCATTGTGGGTTAAGCCACAGAAGCCTCTGTACTGCAAGGTCAAAAGACCAGCTGTTGTAAGATTGAATCCACGTGACGGAGAAAGCTCCCGTCGCTTGACCCAGCTTCTGCCAACCTAGCAGTTCAAAAACATGTAAAAATGCAAGTAGCTAAATAGGTACCACTTCGGTGGGAAGGTAATGGCGTTCCATGTCTAGTCGTGCTGGCCACATGACCACATAAAAACTGTCTTCGGACAAACACTGGCTCTATGGCTTGGAAACAGGGATGAGCACCGCGCCCTATAGTCAGACATGACTGGACTAAATGTCAAGGGGAACCTTTATCTTTACCTATTCATATGAAGCCCCTTCACGGATTGCTGCCTTGTTGTGGCAAAGGGGCTTGAGTAATTTAGAGAAGCTATTGGCTATGCCATGCAGGGACACCCAAGACAGACAGGTCACAGTGGAGATTTCTGACTAAACGCGATCCACCTGGAGCAGGAACTGGCAAGCCACTCCAGTATCTTTGCCAAGAAAACTCCATGGACAGAAACAAAAGGCTAAAAGATATGATGCTGGAAGATGAGCCCCTCAGGTTGGAAGGCGTCCAACATGCTACTGAGGAAGAGCAGAGGACAACTACACGTAGCTCCAGTGCTAATGAAGTGGTTGGGCCAAAGCCAAAAGGACGCTCAGCTGCGGACGCACCTGGAAGTGAAAGGAAAGTCCGATGCTGCAAAGAAAAATATTGCATAGGAACTTGGAATGTAAGATCTATGAATCTTGGTAAGCTGGACGTGGTCACACAGGAGATGGCAAGAATTAACACTGACATCCTGGTTGTCAGTGAACTAAAATGGATGAGAATGGGCGAATTCAATTCAGTTTATTATCAAATCTACTATTGTGGCCAAGAATCCCGTAGAAGAAATGGAATAGCCCTCATAGTCAACAGAAGAGTGGGAAAAGCTGTATTGGGATACAATCTCAAAAATGATAGAATGATTTCAAAACGAATCCAAGGCAGACCTTTCAACATCACAGTCATCTAAGTTTATGCACCAGCCACCAATGCTGAAGAGGCTGAAATTGACCAATTCTATGAAGATTTACAACACCTTCTAGAACTGACACCAAAGAAAGATGTGCTTGTCATTCTAGGGGACTGGAATGCTAAAGTAGGGAGTAAAGAGATAAAAGGAGTAACAGGGAAGTTTGGCCTTGGAGTTCAAAACGAAGCAGGGCAAAAGGTAATAGATTTTTGTCAGGAGAACAAGCTGGTCATTACAAACAAAGTAAAGCAAAGTGTGCTGCTTATATACTGCCCCATAGTGCTTCAAGCACTCTCAGCAGCCACGAAATTAAAATGCCTGCTTCTTGGGAGGAAAGTGATGACAAACCTAGACAGCATCTTAAAAAGCAGAGACATCACCTTGCCAACAAAAGTCCGCATAGTCAAAGCTATGGTTTTTCCTGTAGTGATGTATGGAAGCGAGAGCTGGACCATAAAAAAAGCTGACTGCCATAAAATTAATGCTTTTGAATTGTGGTGCTGGAGGAGACTCTTGAGAGTCTCTTGAGAGTCCCCTGGACTGCAAGAACAAATGTATCAATTCTAAAAGAAATCAACCCTGAGTGCTCACTGGAAGGACATATCCTGAAGCTGAGGCTCCAATACTTTGGCCATCTCATGAGAAGAGAAGACTCCCTGGAAAAGACCCTGATGTTGGGAAAGTGTAAAGGCAAGAGGAGAAGGGGACGACAGAGGACGAGATGGTTGGACTGTCACTGAAATTGACCCAAGTCCAGGAGGCAGTGGAAGACAGGGGGCCTGGTGTGCTCTGGTCCATGGGGTCACAAAGAGGCACACAGGGGGAAGTGGGAGAGCAGGACTTCTGGGTTGGTTCAGCCAGGGCAGTACCGTAGAGGGCAAGATCTGTGGATTGGAGCATTGAATTGTGAGGTTCTGCAGAGCAGTGGGGGAAAGGGTTTGGGCACCCGTGTGGCAGAAAAGAGCAACATTGCACAGACCTTTCATTGGGTTTGAGCAAAATATACTCAACAAGTTGCTAGCATCCCAAAGCACTTGGATAGCTCCAAAGCAGAGGAACACCAATTCTTGTCAAAAGCAATGGAGCCTCCGTGAGGCCAAGGCAGAACACAAGATCAAGCTGGGCTGAACAGGTGACTTGGGCACTTAGTTACGGTGAGCAGTTAGTTGGGACCATATGCTGGGGGCCTCTCTCTCTCTCTCTCTCCTTAAAACTACTACAGTATTTAAAACTACTGTACAAACAGTGAAGAAGGAGGCATCTTACATCATTGAGGCAAAGATCAATATTGAGGCAAAGGCCCTTCTTTGCCTTGGGTGCCCCCCTCCCCAGAGTGACTTGCTTTGCAGGGATCGCTGCGAGGAGGGGGCGTTTGCCAGGGCGGGGGGGGAGGCAGGTAGGCAGAGCGGGGCAGCAAAAGTCACGAGGAGAGGAATGCGGAGACGGCGTGCTGGGGGGTACACGGCCCCGGAGAAGGGCGAACCAAGAACCACCCTCACCAACCTGCCCGTGCTCCTTATGGGGGGGGGGAGGCTGCCTCCATTTCCCTTCCTCACCTCGCAATCACCGCCCCCGCGCCCCCCCTTGCGTGCCTGAAAAACCACCAAACGTTTCATGC